CCCAGGGGGGATGGTCACACCGCAGTCCCTTCTCCTCCATTCTCCTCTCAGGATGTTGGGCACGCACGCACATGCGCCTGACACGAGTTTTAAGCCACCGGGTCCGGGACGCGAACCACGTTTGACTACATGGGAGTCCAGCAACATAGCCATTACGCTAACTGCTGGTCCCAGAATCTTGAGAGTACTTTTAACACTGGCTAGGCAGTAGCCATGTGGACATATTTTGACAGCAACTCTTGTCTGCTGAATTCTCACTGTAGTGAACATAGTCTGTCATTTCCTGAGTTGAGACTTTCTTGGAGTTAGCTTCAGAGAAGTAAAGGTCTGAAGACCCGGAACAGCGTGCCCTTTCACTGGCATCCTCTCACCCACCTCTTCATACTGTCTAGCTTATCACCATGAGTTCATTGGGTGCTCAGTAGATGTCTCGTATGAATTAGTGAATGTTTTGTTGAATGAAACTTCTCCCGTTATTACAAGGTACCTGCCCTTGTTAACTGCTCTTGTTTTTGTCCTTCCTCAGTTGGAATTAACGACCTCTGGAAAGATGCCTTTTATGTTACCAGGACAACAGAGCCAAGCTCCGAAGGCCATTCAGCACCCCTGGTGGTCAGCAAGCTTAGTCTGCGGTGGGCGCTGATGGAGGGCCAGGTGGTCCAGCTGAAGGAAACTACCCCCAAGATTGGCCGTGGGGAGCTGCGAAGATTCCTCTCTAGGATCAAGTTTGTTGATTCTCCCTACCAGGTGAATAACTTTGGAAATACTTGGTTACCTTTGACAGTTTAGGAGAACTCCTACTAACTCCAGGTTTGCTCTCTGGAAATCAGGGAGAGTAGGAAGCTTTCTGGACTAAATGGGTATTAAGAACCAGTTGTTGCAGGCCAGCACTATTTTCTAAGGGTCTTTGTGACTCTGAAGAAATGGTTCCCAGTTTATTGTTTTCAGCTGGAAATTGTCTCTCAGGGGACATTTGAAATTGTGAGGTCATCGTTTTCATTGTCCCAGTGACTGAGGGAGATGGATACCACTCGTATTTTCTGGGTCTGGGCTAGTGTTGCTAAGATCATTCGGGGCTTGTAGTAGTTACAGTCATAAGGAATGGTCTTGCTCAAAACACTGGTATTCTCACCTTCTCTTGAGACACACCATGATCCGATTCAAAATTCAAGAACTGATATGGGAAAAGGACATAGTCTCTGGACCTTTCTTAAGGAGAGATAGAAACTTAAACAAGAGGACAGGGAAATAGAGGGGTATTCTTTCAGCCTTCCTCCATTTCTTTGACTATCTCTACCGTGAACAGAAATTAAAGTTACCGGTATTTCCACCTTTTCTCCCAGGTCTAGTCTGATGAAATCTTCCATTTTGGATGACGTGAACAGAATGGATATTCTCTCTCCTGTCAGTGTACAGACCAGTTCTTGAGAGAGGAGGAAGACTCTTCCAACTCAGTTCACCACCTCTGTACCTGTGTGGTTGTTACCAACTACTTAAGAAGTCACATTGGAGTCTCTGATGGCAGCATGAAGCACTTGACTGGGATAGCTCTGTCTTTTTGATCTCTGTGTTAACCCCCTCTGGGAACTCTGTATAGATAGTTTGGAAATGTGAATCTTATGGTTTATTTTTTTGTATGTCTAATTTATAAACTCTGGTTGGGAAATCCAGTGAAGCCAATGACTAGGAAACATTTTGTTTGGCATTATGTCATGTGTATATATTTTTTAATGTTGTGAAGTTATTTTCCAGATATGTCCTCAGCTTCAGGGATCCAGGGATTCATTCTTCTGAAATAGATCTGGTTTGGTCATCTTGAGACTGCCGGGTGGCCCACCTCTGATTTCGAGGGCCACTTGTCATCTCTCCTTGTTCTCTCCCACCTGTACCTGGGCAGGGGCCTGCTTGTAGACAGCAGTGTGAAAGACTGGGAGAGGAAGACTGAGTTTGCCATCCCAGCATTCTCAGCTCTTCCTTAATATCTAGTTTCCTCAGACTTTCTGTCTATATTAAGTGGCCCTAAGAATAACCATGTTTCTATTATTGGGGGGCAGGAGAATACAGTTCCACTGGGCCATCTCTAACCAAGTCCATGTCACGTTACGCGTGGTTTCAGTGGTTTCGCAGGTCATGGTCTGTACCTTGTGATAATGTCAGAGTGTACATACGCATGCCGTCCCAGCTGCTTGTAACTCACAGGAGAGCTGGATGTCAGGAACCACTGAGGCCCAAGCTCGTATCATGCTTCATCGCTGCTCTGCTTTCTTGGCGTCTTTTCCTGTCGGGCATCCCCCTTACCTCCTCTCATGTTTTCTTCTCCTTGATTCAGGGATCTGTTTTTGGACTTAAACTTTTGCTGCTTGAGTCCAGCATGCAAGCATGTCACCCCGCACCACTCTT